AACAGACCTGGTTGAACTCCACCGGTTACTGCTTCTCACTAGAACTCCAGGAAATACCTCAAGGAGTCAGTCACTAGTGAGCACCTGATTATTATCAGAAGGGGTTTTGTGGAGATTTTAGTATTTTATAGAGTTGAGATCATGAGTCAATTGAAGCTAGACTACCATGGAAAACCTGGAAGCACTGGACGGCCGTTTCGTCCTATTATGGGACTCCTCAGCAGTGCGCGTCCACGAACCCACTCTCGCGGGATTCGAACCCAGGACCTACCAGTTTCGAGCCGAAGCCCTTAACCGATAGACCACTGAGCTGGCATCCAACGGTGTTAATTTCTAACTTCAACTGATTCACGAAATTGAGCAACCATTCACCAATGTCATCAGTGAGTTCCTATCTCACAACAGACCTGGTTGAACTCCACCGGTTACTGCTTCTCACTAGAACTCCAGGAAATACCTCAAGGAGTCAGTCACTAGTGAGCACCTGATTATTATCAGAAGGGGTTTTGTGGAGATTTTAGTATTTTATAGAGTTGAGATCATGAGTCAATTGAAGCTAGACTACCATGGAAAACCTGGAAGCACTGGACGGCCGTTTCGTCCTATTATGGGACTCCTCAGCAGTGCGCGTCCACGAACCCACTCTCGCGGGATTCGAACCCAGGACCTACCAGTTTCGAGCCGAAGCCCTTAACCGATAGACCACTGAGCTGGCATCCAACGGTGTTAATTTCTAACTTCAACTGATTCACGAAATTGAGCAACCATTCACCAATGTCATCAGTGAGTTCCTATCTCACAACAGACCTGGTTGAACTCCACCGGTTACTGCTTCTCACTAGAACTCCAGGAAATACCTCAAGGAGTCAGTCACTAGTGAGCACCTGATTATTATCAGAAGGGGTTTTGTGGAGATTTTAGTATTTTATAGAGTTGAGATCATGAGTCAATTGAAGCTAGACTACCATGGAAAACCTGGAAGCACTGGACGGCCGTTTCGTCCTATTATGGGACTCCTCAGCAGTGCGCGTCCACGAACCCACTCTCGCGGGATTCGAACCCAGGACCTACCAGTTTCGAGCCGAAGCCCTTAACCGATAGACCACTGAGCTGGCATCCAACGGTGTTAATTTCTAACTTCAACTGATTCACGAAATTGAGCAACCATTCACCAATGTCATCAGTGAGTTCCTATCTCACAACAGACCTGGTTGAACTCCACCGGTTACTGCTTCTCACTAGAACTCCAGGAAATACCTCAAGGAGTCAGTCACTAGTGAGCACCTGATTATTATCAGAAGGGGTTTTGTGGAGATTTTAGTATTTTATAGAGTTGAGATCATGAGTCAATTGAAGCTAGACTACCATGGAAAACCTGGAAGCACTGGACGGCCGTTTCGTCCTATTATGGGACTCCTCAGCAGTGCGCGTCCACGAACCCACTCTCGCGGGATTCGAACCCAGGACCTACCAGTTTCGAGCCGAAGCCCTTAACCGATAGACCACTGAGCTGGCATCCAACGGTGTTAATTTCTAACTTCAACTGATTCACGAAATTGAGCAACCATTCACCAATGTCATCAGTGAGTTCCTATCTCACAACAGACCTGGTTGAACTCCACCGGTTACTGCTTCTCACTAGAACTCCAGGAAATACCTCAAGGAGTCAGTCACTAGTGAGCACCTGATTATTATCAGAAGGGGTTTTGTGGAGATTTTAGTATTTTATAGATGCCAGCTCAGTGGTCTATCGGTTAAGGGCTTCGGCTCGAAACTGGTAGGTCCTGGGTTCGAATCCCGCGAGAGTGGGTTCGTGGACGCGCACTGCTGAGGAGTCCCATAATAGGACGAAACGGCCGTCCAGTGCTTCCAGGTTTTCCATGGTAGTCTAGCTTCAATTGACTCATGATCTCAACTCTATAAAATACTAAAATCTCCACAACACCCCTTCTGATAATAATCAGGTGCTCACTAGTGACTGACTCCTTGAGGTATTTCCTGGAGTTCTAGTGAGAAGCAGTAACCGGTGGAGTTCAACCAGGTCTGTTGTGAGATAGGAACTCACTGATGACATTGGTGAATGGTTGCTCAATTTCGTGAATCAGTTGAAGTTAGAAATTAACACCGTTGGATGCCAGCTCAGTGGTCTATCGGTTAAGGGCTTCGGCTCGAAACTGGTAGGTCCTGGGTTCGAATCCCGCGAGAGTGGGTTCGTGGACGCGCACTGCTGAGGAGTCCCATAATAGGACGAAACGGCCGTCCAGTGCTTCCAGGTTTTCCATGGTAGTCTAGCTTCAATTGACTCATGATCTCAACTCTATAAAATACTAAAATCTCCACAAAACCCCTTCTGATAATAATCAGGTGCTCACTAGTGACTGACTCCTTGAGGTATTTCCTGGAGTTCTAGTGAGAAGCAGTAACCGGTGGAGTTCAACCAGGTCTGTTGTGAGATAGGAACTCACTGATGACATTGGTGAATGGTTGCTCAATTTCGTGAATCAGTTGAAGTTAGAAATTAACACCGTTGGATGCCAGCTCAGTGGTCTATCGGTTAAGGGCTTCGGCTCGAAACTGGTAGGTCCTGGGTTCGAATCCCGCGAGAGTGGGTTCGTGGACGCGCACTGCTGAGGAGTCCCATAATAGGACGAAACGGCCGTCCAGTGCTTCCAGGTTTTCCATGGTAGTCTAGCTTCAATTGACTCATGATCTCAACTCTATAAAATACTAAAATCTCCACAAAACCCCTTCTGATAATAATCAGGTGCTCACTAGTGACTGACTCCTTGAGGTATTTCCTGGAGTTCTAGTGAGAAGCAGTAACCGGTGGAGTTCAACCAGGTCTGTTGTGAGATAGGAACTCACTGATGACATTGGTGAATGGTTGCTCAATTTCGTGAATCAGTTGAAGTTAGAAATTAACACCGTTGGATGCCAGCTCAGTGGTCTATCGGTTAAGGGCTTCGGCTCGAAACTGGTAGGTCCTGGGTTCGAATCCCGCGAGAGTGGGTTCGTGGACGCGCACTGCTGAGGAGTCCCATAATAGGACGAAACGGCCGTCCAGTGCTTCCAGGTCTTCCATGGTAGTCTAGCTTCAATTGACTCATGATCTCAACTCTATAAAATCCTAAATTTACATGCATTAAACTATGTACTTTGCCTTTAACCTGGCCAATTTTTCGGATTATTAATTTGGATATATAATTGTAGAACCTGAAGAGAATTTATCGAAAAGAATATTCTTCGTTCAAATATTAGTCTTTTAATATGATTGGGATTTTTAAACGATTAAATGCTTATTATTTATTTCTGGTCTGAATTCTCCCAGCGATGCTGATGTTCGCATGAAGTTATTATCTCGTATGGAACATGACGAAGAAATGACGCTACAAACTGTTACTGGTGAGTGTCAACGATTAATAAACTTGAAACAGGATTCGGCTATGTTAGAAACCAAAAGTGCTGCACCATCTAATCATTCTGTCCATGCTGTTAAGACGAGTCAACGACAAAAAAATGCCAAAAGCTATAAACATCACACGAAAATTCCTAAACCCTCGACATTCGCGTTATCAGCACGAAGGTCGTAGAAGGCGTATTCTATTGGTGGATAATTTACGCGGATTACGTCCTTGTTAAATTTGTAAGGTCATAACGAATCAGCGACGACCTTGATCAAGTCATAACAATTGGCTACAGTCTAGGTCAAAAACATAACAGTCCCAATATATAAGAAGGGGCCAAAATCATCCTGTGATAACCATAGAGGGATTAGTCTGACTAAAATAGCATCTAAAATACTAGCATCAATAATTATCGGGCGCTGACTAAGACTCGTGAACTGCAAACACAAGAAAATCAGGCTATCTTCAGACATGGTCGTGGCTGTATCGACCACATATTCACTATTTGTCAAGTTTTAGAGCACAGACATGCTTATCGGCGTCCGACAATGATAGTTTTTCTTGACTTGAAAGCGGCATTTGACTCTGTAGACCGAGAGGTTCTGTGGCAGTGTCTATCATTGAAAGGTGTACCTCAGAAGCACATAAACCTTGTGAAGGCTCTTTACTCGAACACTACCAGTCGAGTGAGAGCTTATGACGAACTTTCATAGGATTTTATAACCTCAAGTGGTGTCCGACAAGGTTGTCCACTATCCCCATTTTTGTTTAACTTCATTATCGACTTATCGACTTAGAATACGCAGATGACATAGTTCTGTTTGGTGAAAACGCTGAAAAAATGCAGAGTCTTCTGTTAGAACTGAGTAACAATGCCAGGATATTTGAAATGCGTTTCTGCCTCTATAAATGTAAATTGTTACTTCAGGTGTTGAGGTCTTCATAATCCAGTCAACCACTAGAAGATAGAGAAAGTGGAAGAGTAAACAGCTTTGTCTGGCTCCGGTCCTCACTTGAAATGCGTCTGTCAGATGTTCTCCATGAATGACTTTGCAGTGTAGTCCGCTGTATGAATTTGGAATGATGTTGACGATTCTCTAATGTACACCATAGTGTCGAGGAAGTTTCCATAAGATCATCCTATCCACACGGTCAATGAAGTTGATGTATATTGACAAATTTCATTCAGTTGATCCGTAGTATCGCGATTCGGCCTGAGCACAAACGGAATCCGGCCTGTTAATCTTGAAGTTGGGTGTCAACTGAGTCTTTCATCTGGTTTAATAACACTGTTCAAAAGTTTTCCTAGTACTGACGGTAGTGCGATGCCTCTGTAAATCTCACATTTGCTTAGGTCTCCTTTCTTTGGTATCTTGATGAGGACGAAAGGCGCGGCCTGGATTCCACTGCTAGTCGTTATCCATCTTTGCTTATAAAAAAATAAGTTCACAGTTTAAAATAAAATTACACAATAAAAATTGGATCGAAACAGACAAAAACATGTATTTTTGAATAAAACGAATACTAGGTATTCACCTACATGAATACTGGAAGATATTTCTTGTTTAAAATAACTTATCAATTTAGTTAACTTACCGGAAATCCACGCTTTCGTAAATGTTTGATGAACAAAGGTGACGATAATACGCTGTTTCATACATACACACACGCACGCAAAAAAATCAAAACAAGAAGTAGAAAGTAACGGAATAGTTGGAAGACGAAAAAGCTTACTCTAATGTCTACCATTTGTAGCGACAATCATGATCATGAATCAATTACGTTATATATTATGATAAACGCACAGATACTATTATCCTAACATAGATTAAAACTATGAATAATATGAGTATACCCAGATGTATAAAATACCAACTGCCTACCAGTACACACTATGTATTAATCATGAGTTTATAAGAAAACCGAAACAAATCATAATCTTAAACTGACTAAATACAAATTTTTTTTGTACTAAACGATTAATTGATAGCATAAAACTAGAGGTTTATTTTTATTTCATGAACTACAAAATGAAATGTATTGTAGACTTGGATTTAATTTTTAGCAATACAGAATTGCTAGGCACATACACTGAAAAGTTACAATAAGCTTTATTCTTATGACTTTTTCTTCACACGTGATTTAATTGATAATAATTTAAGATATTATGTTACAAAAGTATTTTGGTTTTAGAGTTTCTAATAAACACAATTGCTAATCTCCTTATAGTTAATTTATTTCTTATTGGTTGACCATGTTTAATTATTACTAATGTATATAACAAACGACCAAGATATTTTCTACAATGTTAGAAGATTGTTAAATGAAAAATGCTCACTTTAAAAAAGGAGAAAAACAACAGGTATAGCTAAATTGCATACGATGATAAGAATTAATTTTTATGGTATCATATAAACAGTTAATATTAACAAAACCCTCTTTAATGTCAACTCCAACAACAATGTTTTTAATACTAGGTTTCATTTCAGTCAGATTCGTTTATTCATAGAACATGAAACAAAATGACTACGTCAGTTGGTGAAGGAAACTAGTCCGTTTCAATCCTTCGAATATAATTTCTAAAAACTTTACATACTACACATGGTGATAGTGACTGACAAAAAGGTTGGTTGGAAGAAGGCTTAAACCAGTTGCACAAAGATAACTCATCAGTTCGTGACATTATTGACTGTTCGTTTGAAGCGTGTTTGGAAGGGTAAGCTACATAATAATGAACAGAAATAATAGTAATCAATGGTTAGTGATCTTAAGCGATATGGTTCGAAATCGGTTGAGTACATACATTTATTCCCTACTTTTCTCTTTATAATTCCACATTATCGCTTTTCTCCAATTACATTCTCTATTTTTAGTTACCCGTTACCATTGAGGCAAGGCGATAAACAAAATCAGCTGTATTACAAGATGCAATGAAAAAGTTACAAAACCCATCAAAAAGCATAAAATACTTACAAATCTGAGAGTAGAAGGGCTGTATTAGGTAAAAAACGATCCCAACGTCGTCGTCTGGCAAACTCATTAGATCTATGCAAAAAATAAGGAGAATAATGACATGAAAGATAAAATCCTGTTTAGCATTTTCACATATATTTGCTGACGCTTAATTGTGAAATTTGATGATAAATAAAAAGAGATTACTATGGTCCGAACTGACAAATAGAGGAAAAACGTAAAGACACCAGCTGCAATGAACGATGAAGACTTTCTCTCGTCTATCTTAACTTTAGTTAGTCCAGTTAAATCTCGACTGGGTTTGCTTCCTAAAAGTAGGCAACTGGCGAGTAACTAGAGGGTACTACGTTAATTCTTGTGGCCTGTTAACTATTACGTCACTAAATCGCCAACCAGAATACGACTTATACAATCTCAGCACTGTGCCAAACCAATGACGAACAGCCTATAGTCCTTATTGGTCCTTCTCGTCTAGCCCTACCTGTTAAGTTTAGAACACCAACATCGGCTTCCACTACATGAATTATATATTTCGGATATACTTGGTTTATATGTAAGCAAACCAGACCACATCATACCATAAAAGAAAAAATAACAATTATACAGGATCAAGCCAAAAATTGGCTATGACAGACTGTAACTAATAAATTGGGAATAATTTAAGGATCATAAATCGTATGATAGTAGTCAATAGGTCAGTCAGTCAGTCAGCTACAACGTAGGACCAGGCACATATATGCATCGGTCCAAGTTGCCATACCTCGTTAGCACAACAAGATGAACACCGGATTCATAGAAATAGTTAATTTAATAGTGGTAATATATAAAAGAAAGATTGTATATAAGGATATAGTATGGAAAGGAAGACAGATATGGAGCAATTTTAATCCCGAGGTTTAAGGGAAGATAAAGAGTGTATACACCCACACCATTGTGATCGATTCTGATCCATGTCACCTAGAGTCTCCAACCATTGGTTACGATAGTCACGCGGACCTCAAACAAGTAATCTGCATCTACCAACATGGCTCAGACTAGAAGTTAGTGGCTTCAAGCACTGATGCTATGTTTTCGTTTGGCCGCCCCTAATTCTCTTCCAACCATCCCCTACACTAGTCGGCATTGAGCGTCGTGGTAATCGGTGTTCAGGCATACGTAACACGTGGCCCAACCATCTCAGTCGATGAAGATTCATCACCTCATCAACTGATTTACCATCATTCCCTAATACCCTGCGTCTAACCTCACTATTACTTACCCGGTGATCCCAGCAGATGCGAGCAATATTTCTAAGGCATCTGTGGTCAATTACTAGTAACTTACGAGTATCTTCTACTCTTAATGGCCATGTTTCGCAGCCGTAAAGTAAGACAGAACGAGTTTTTGTGCAGTATACTCATCCCTTAATTGATAGACGGATATCTCGTCTTCGCCATAGGTTACGTAAGTTGGCAAAAAGCAAACGAGCTTTTTGAATCCGTGCTGAGATTTCGTCAGACACCAACCCATTAGGGTTGATCAGACTTCCAAGATAAGTGAAGTTGTCCACGCGTTCGACTACTTCACTCCCTATCCTTAGTTTAGGTGTTGACGCAGGCCAGTCCTGAAGTAACAATTTACATTTATAGAGGGAGAAACGCATTTCAAATATCCTGGCATTGTTACTCAGTTCTAACAGAAGACTCTGCATTTTTTCAGCGTTTTCACCAAACAGGACTATATCACTAGGCCAAATAAAAGCTTATGAAAAAAGGAATATAAATATACATAATCTAGTTACTTAACAGCTGTACAATAAGAATGTATATATAGTAACAGTCTATGAATAGTTCCCGGAAGTTACTCACAATTTAATCTTCGGATATAACACAGTTATGTTGTCTTTCAAAGAGTTCTGGCAGTCGCTTCAGTCTCCTAGATAGAGAGTGGATCACTGATCTATCCTTTTCACAAAATACCGAATTTTTAATACGTTTTTTTATAATTCTGAAAAATTTATTGCTGTTTGTCGCCGTTGTCTTTTCCTTAGCTTTGGCTTTCGCTGCATAGGCTTTGTGTCAGTCTGAGATTAGATTGGCTTCGCTCCTCATCACGTTTTGATGGTCACAGTCACTCGTAAGTCAGTCCTTTTTTCACAGCTGTCTGGATATCATGCCAACCCAAATCGACGGAAAATCACATTCACATCTGATTAAGTGTTTCTTCAGTTGTTTCTGAAACATAATATTTACTTCTTCGCCGTTAAATTAATCTAAAAGGGGTCTTCTTGATCTGGCTTTTCTGCATCTAGTAACACGCAAACGAACGCGCGGCCGTGCTATAGCTTGAAAGAGTCTACACATATGCCTACGAATGAGCAGCAGCTTTTTTACCGAGCCTCTTCAATGATGGCTGATGGCAGTATGGTCTATTTACATCTGAAAGTCAGTCGATTGTGAGGGAAGCCATGTTAGACAATGTCTATCATTATGCTTAAAGTTGGTGCTTGTTAAGAATAAACGGCTTCCTGAGCACAGTCGTACCACAGTCATATAGAGCCTTATGCAAAATTCATCTTTTTATTCATCCGAACGGTAGTCAATGGGAGCAAAAAGAGAGAAAACGGGGCATGTCCTTATCTTTTCGTGTTTGTACTTCACCATTTAGTCGGACAGAGCACACACAACTATCTATTGGAATACGGTCTAAGAAAGTCTGTTCTGATTTTGAACTTAGTCCTATACCTAAACCAGCAAGACAAGGCTCCAGATACATGGACAGTAAATTGAGCCTATTGACTGGTTCGATTTAGTAGCTACGGTCGGGGAGCTCATATACAATGGACGAACCAGTTTTAAGCAAGTAAATACACGAGCACTAGCTGCTGAAAGGAGTTTGTATGGTAAAGGATAAAATATTTGACATTCCAAGTTGTGCAAATGGTATTTATAAAGAATATCGACAGTTGTAAAGCAATTATTTACTTCACTTACTATTTAACAGTTTTCATACACTGTTTCGAGCTACACCGTCTCTGTAAGGATTAATAGTACTATCAAGTTCCCCTAAACGAGATAGAGGAAGTATGACTTCAATTTGTAACATACTGGTTGACATTACAAAGCCATAAACACTAATCCGCGGCTCCAAGAAAGTATAATTAATAAACGAAATTGAAGTTGTAGAAATGACTTAGTTTTCAAAGTGGTTGTCTTTTGACTGATAAATTGCAGGTTTAAACCTGGCTATGACCATTTCGGATTAAGGAACTGGGTGCTATTAATAGACCTAACACAATAAGGTGCTCCGAAGTTGTTAATTAATTGCGTACATCAAACGAGTTTGTTGTTGAAAGATAAACTATTTAATTATCTTCATAAACTGTGAAGTTGGGTGACAGAATTGAAACTGCTAGGGAGCGCCAGTCCTCTCGAAATTGACGGTACGCTTTGCTGACGAGTACCAAATAGTATGGGACCTAGGTCTAGGGTTTTCTGTCGACTACCTCTAACCACCACCTTACATCTCAACACAGTGTACGTGATATTGGGTCACTTAGACTAATGAGCCCATTGCAACTTGATCAACAGAATTCGATCATCACTAAGAAGGATTTGACATACGTGGAATTAGTCATTACTCAGTGGTTAGTCAATTATAAAATATTATAGTTAAGATCATGAGTCAATTGAAGCTAGACCACCATCGAAAACCTGGAAGCACTGGACGGCCGTTTCGTCCTATTATGGGACTCCTCAGCAGTGCGCATCCACGACCTCGCACTCGCGAGATTCGAACCCAGGACCTACCAGTCTCGAGCCAGAGCCCTTAACCGATAGACCACTGAGCTGGCATCCAACGGTGTTAATGTCTAACCTCAATCAATCCACGAAATTGCGCGACCAACTTCCAATGTACCGAGGTAGATACCTGTCTCTACCTGACATGGATTAGCTCCACTGGCCACGACTTCTCACTAGAACTCCAGGAATTACCTCAAGGAGCCAGTCAGACAGATAATCATACGGTAACAAGATGAGCAAATAATAATGATAATAGACAACAAAAAAACCATGTCAACCTACCGAATAACAGAAACTAAAGGAAGTTCAAAACAATCATATTTTATAGGTACTAAAGGGAGTAGTCCAACAACATAACATGCCATTATCCATATTACATACGAAAACGGTGCAAAAGTAAGAATATTTTTATTGCGTAATTCACATTTCTTCGATACTTTCGAATTCATCGACCCCCATACAGTTATATGCTCTCGATTGTACGTTTCAATAAGGCGAGCAACCTTAAATAATAGTAAATAAATCCGGTAAATTATAAATCACAAGGGAAAATTTTCATGCATATAAAAATTATAAATGCTGAACAGTGGTAGATATGTGATAGCATTTCAAGAACTGCTGAGACAAATTCACGAAACACCTAAAAAACCAGATAATTAATACGGATACTGATTAGAAAAATGAGATCATTTAGACTCGAAAAAACTCTTAACCATCAAGCAATTAACAGATTGATCGACTGAAACTTTGTAGACTTATTAGAAATACTTGGAATTCCCAAAAAACATCGTTTACTCCCTGTTAATATTATAGCTGTGAAATCGAACTGATAGGTTATAAGTTTCAGTGCCAACTGGATGACCTAAAATGACCTGTATTCTGCATTTACTGACGTTTCAAATAACCTTTAATCGTATTTATATTTGCATTGGCATAAGCCGCTCTGGCTCTCACTATATGTGGGTTGATCTCATCACTCACAACACCACCAGCATCTACAATGCTACCCAGATGCATGAAATTCCCAACTACTTCTATCTGCTCACTACCCAGGGACAGTGCAGTTTCGGCGTACTGCCAGTTTTGTAAAAGTACTGTGCATAAAGAAGGTATGAAGCATATTCCATATCTACGGACACTACCAAGTGACTATGTACGAATTGCATGGCTTGGGTGTCATTGCACAGTAAGACAATATCATCCGCATACTCAAGGTTGAAAAGTCTTTCTCCCGACAACAGATCCACACCACATTATCTACATCCATCAGAGCTGTTTCCAGAACTCTATCGACGGTACAGTTGAAGAAGAGTAGTGAGATTGAACAACCCTGCCTAGTCCCACTGCTTGAATGAAACAATGGAGAGCGAGAGGTGGTTGCATGCCCTCACTCTGCATGAGGTATTCGTATATTGAGCTCTCAAGGTGTTGATAAACTTCTCAGGCACACCCTTTTTCAATAGATAATCCCAAAGAACAGTCCTGTTTAATGAACGTCAAGAAACACCACGATTGTTGGTCTGTAATAAGTATCACGGTGTTCTAACATTTGCTGGAGAGTAAAGATATGATCAATATATCCTCGACCAGAATGAAAACCAGCCTGCTCCTCGCGAATCAATCTCGGGTTTTGAATAATCTAGAAAGTGTGACAGAATCCAATAGTTTGGTCGTGATCGCTAAGTCATCTACAACTTAGGACTACGCACATATATTCATCGGTCTAAGTTGCCATACAGCATTAATACAACAAGATGAACACCAAATTCATAAGGACAAAAGTTCGCACCATTCATATTGAATGAAACTCACACTTAACTGATATTAATACACTGATCATGTGTTATCTCCAGCCACCGTCTTTTTCATCTCTTTTGCTTTCGTTACCCATCACTGCCCACGATCGTTCTGTAGACTATTGATTAATCTAGATCTGATTTGCTTTCGTTGTTCATCGTGTTCGGGATAAGTTTACGAGAGTCTATCAGTGCAATAGATGTCGCGAAAATCTACTGGTTTTTCGTAACCCTTTGTTTTAAATCACTAATAGATGTCGCTGCTGTTTCTACAGCTGTTCGTATATCTTTCCAAGCAACATCTGGGTCAGCCTCGTTTGCAGAACTGCCTAAATGTGAATTGTTCCTGGAACTTACTTTTGACTTTCTCGTCCCTCAGTTCAATCATAATGGGTCTTCTTAGTGTGGTTTTTTGAGTCCACTGAGGCACAAGCAAATGCGTGCTCGTATTAGAGCATGATAAGAGTCTAAACATGTATTCCAGAACGATCGACAGTCTTCTGTCGAGCCTTCCAACGACCACTGGTGATAATATGGTCTATTTGGGTTCATCTTTGGTTTGGTGCAAGGGATCGCCATGTTAAACAATGTCTTTCCATATGCTTAAACTTATTGTTTGCTAAAAATAAACGATTGTCTGAGCACAGTTGCAACGGACGGTCAAAATTATCTATTCGTTGAGCCGGAATACTAAAATACCCACAACGCGTGTCTCTATCCTTTCGAGTTCTTATTAGAAATACTTGGAATTCCCAAAAAACATCGTTTACTCCCTGTTAATATTATAGCTGTGAAATCGAACTGATAGGTTATAAGTTTCAGTGCCAACTGGATGACCTAAAATGACCTGTATTCTGCATTTACTGACGTTTCAAATAACCTTTAATCGTATTTATATTTGCATTGGCATAAGCCGCTCTGGCTCTCACTATATGTGGGTTGATCTCATCACTCACAACACCACCAGCATCTACAATGCTACCCAGATGCATGAAATTCCCAACTACTTCTATCTGCTCACTACCCAGGGACAGTGCAGTTTCGGCGTACTGCCAGTTTTGTAAAAGTACTGTGCATAAAGAAGGTATGAAGCATATTCCATATCTACGGACACTACCAAGTGACTATGTACGAATTGCATGGCTTGGGTGTCATTGCACAGTAAGACAATATCATCCGCATACTCAAGGTTGAAAAGTCTTTCTCCCGACAACAGATCCACACCACATTATCTACATCCATCAGAGCTGTTTCCAGAACTCTATCGACGGTACAGTTGAAGAAGAGTAGTGAGATTGAACAACCCTGCCTAGTCCCACTGCTTGAATGAAACAATGGAGAGCGAGAGGTGGTTGCATGCCCTCACTCTGCATGAGGTATTCGTATATTGAGCTCTCAAGGTGTTGATAAACTTCTCAGGCACACCCTTTTTCAATAGATAATCCCAAAGAACAGTCCTGTTTAATGAACGTCAAGAAACACCACGATTGTTGGTCTGTAATAAGTATCACGGTGTTCTAACATTTGCTGGAGAGTAAAGATATGATCAATATATCCTCGACCAGAATGAAAACCAGCCTGCTCCTCGCGAATCAATCTCGGGTTTTGAATAATCTAGAAAGTGTGACAGAATCCAATAGTTTGGTCGTGATCGCTAAGTCATCTACAACTTAGGACTACGCACATATATTCATCGGTCTAAGTTGCCATACAGCATTAATACAACAAGATGAACACCAAATTCATAAGGACAAAAGTTCGCACCATTCATATTGAATGAAACTCACACTTAACTGATATTAATACACTGATCATGTGTTATCTCCAGCCACCGTCTTTTTCATCTCTTTTGCTTTCGTTACCCATCACTGCCCACGATCGTTCTGTAGACTATTGATTAATCTAGATCTGATTTGCTTTCGTTGTTCATCGTGTTCGGGATAAGTTTACGAGAGTCTATCAGTGCAATAGATGTCGCGAAAATCTACTGGTTTTTCGTAACCCTTTGTTTTAAATCACTAATAGATGTCGCTGCTGTTTCTACAGCTGTTCGTATATCTTTCCAAGCAACATCTGGGTCAGCCTCGTTTGCAGAACTGCCTAAATGTGAATTGTTCCTGGAACTTACTTTTGACTTTCTCGTCCCTCAGTTCAATCATAATGGGTCTTCTTAGTGTGGTTTTTTGAGTCCACTGAGGCACAAGCAAATGCGTGCTCGTATTAGAGCATGATAAGAGTCTAAACATGTATTCCAGAACGATCGACAGTCTTCTGTCGAGCCTTCCAACGACCACTGGTGATAATATGGTCTATTTGGGTTCATCTTTGGTTTGGTGCAAGGGATCGCCATGTTAAACAATGTCTTTCCATATGCTTAAACTTATTGTTTGCTAAAAATAAACGATTGTCTGAGCACAGTTGCAACGGACGGTCAAAATTATCTATTCGTTGAGCCGGAATACTAAAATACCCACAACGCGTGTCTCTATCCTTTCGAGTTCTTAAGAAGCCGTTTAGCTGAACATCGCATGGGCGACTGTTAACATGGGTTTATTCTAAAAGTGCTTGTTCTGTTCTCATACTCAGTAATATGCTTACAATCGCCATTCCACGAGAACTTGCCGTCAGGTCGTTAGATAAACGGAGGGTCAAGCTTCCCGTTTTGGCTAAGTGAGGACAAGTGAATGACCACACTAGGATCCTGTATGTGTGTGTGTTTTGGAGGCACACAATACATCATTGGTACGAAATTCCAGGGTCCTAGCCAAGGATGCCCGCTGGCCGATTGACATAGTGTGCATACGTTGAAGACTCCAATGTGTAGTTTGGAGAGAGGTTTCAGTGGACCCGGAACAGTGTTTCGCACACTAGAATCGTTAGCTACGGTGACACTTCAGGAGAAGTCAAGAGAGGAAGTTAAGAGTTGAAAGTCGATGTAGGAGGAATAATAGGAGTTAAAGAGGGGGATTGATTATGAATACAGTGATCTTGAGAGCTGATAGAGGTATGAAAGCGGTTATCATTTCCCAGTTGCCCACACCGTGGAAGGGTTCTTCTAGAAATACTTGTAAGGAAATTGCGTTAAAACTGGTCTTGGTGACCTGAGAGCGTGATCACAGTGCTCAAGGGACAACTGCTCGAGGCCGGTCACACACGACCTTTTTGTGAGTAATTTTTGTGTTAGATCCTTGCTTGTTGGGACCTTACCGCCGGAGATGGATATCCGTGGGATAAGGTGAGGTGTGCATTCTTAGCGTCAACCGTTTCTGATCCAAACCTTCCTTTGTGGGAAGGCAGCATTGTTGTTATGCTGGTTGTCTGAGGAAAACACCTTACTGCTGTCACACCTCTATACAGTGAGCAGTATGACTTCCTCCTCGAACTTTGGGTTTGCTGCTTTTAGTCTTACCGCTCAATAACCGACCTGTCTGGCACAGTGGGACCTTGAGGAACGATTGCTCCAGTCAGTATAGCCCGACTGGCTCATCACAATAGGCAAGCCCGACCACTACGTCAAGGTGACAGCAATAGTCGAGACGCGATCGGAAGTACATCTATTCACCGATCGTTGTTGCAGAAACTACCTGAACCCTTTTTAAATACAGGGACAACTATAGATACATTCCACAATGGTAAAACACTCTAATTGCCAGACATTTTTAAACAACTCAGTCAGTTCCTTGACCAGAAGGTCGCTATTATTTTTAAAAAGGCCGGATGGGAATCATCTAGGCCTAGTGATTTGTGGCGCTTCAGGAGTTGGGGTTCCTTGCAGACTTACGCCTCGTTAGGTGGATCAGTTGTTAATTGTAGTTTGAATGTTGAATACTGGTAAAATAGCGGTCATATAAAGTGAATTTATACATAAAGAAAAGATAAAAACCTACGGTTAAGAGTACACATGAATAAATATAAAGTCACAAGCTAACCTCATTGATGAGGAAATCGTCATTAACTTTAATATCAATATTGATGGGGGTATTCGGAAACTTATTAAACAAGTCCTCTAATCGTGCAATTTTATATGAAGAGGGAGACTCCGTAATACAAAAGGAACCTGACTGGGGTGGAGATAAAAAATCACAATTAATTAAAAAGTCATTGATGTAAGAAATTCGCATATTGACCAATGAACAGAATAGAGGTCAACAAAGGACCGAAAAAATAATAACGATCAGTTCAAGTAAAGAAAACATTTATGTAAATTTAAAGTTGTATGATAAGAATCTATTGGTGAAGGTCTGGTATGCAACATACCCTCAATTAACGAAGCCTTATTATTACTTTTTGTAGGGTCAGGAATGATAATTTTTTGTAGGCATTTAAGGAAATTAAACATTGATACAATTGGATCTTGAAAATAGTATGGGGCGCACATATAAAGAGATAACAGTGTGGAGAAATAAAGGAAAAGAGGAGACACACTTCAGTTCAAGATACAATCAGAAAAGACTTCCAGTTATGGAAGTTGATTTAACTTTTATGAATGATGCAAAAGGAAACAGCACGATCACCACATTCTTTCATTTTGAGACATCTGATAATATCCCAAGCCACCGAGTTGCATCATTTCTAGGCTCCCCTGCCAGGGAGTTGTGATAGATCAACAGATCTCCGTTCTACACAGCTTTTCCCATACCCCTGTGCTATGTCATAAAATGACTACCCCCTATCCTAACTTCAGGATTTGCAAAGAATGCACAATACGGGAGTCACTAGTATGCCATTTGCAGAACATGAACAAGACATGAAATTCAGTGCTTTAAGGTAGTGTAACCGACTGAATTATCATCACTACGTCTGGACACACATTGTCTAATATCAGTATTATTAACATGTTCTTACTGGACGCCAGAGAACCGTTAGAGACAATGATGACTGAACAAAGAGAGTCATCAAAAATCTTCAATTCGGTGGGGTTAGGTTCCACAAGCTTTCGCTACTCCCTCACGTCACCACTAGCATTCATAGATCTACTTGAATACATTAAACTTTCGACTATTTATAACGGCTGACTATGAATAAAAGTTGCTTGTTGTTTTCGATAAAAATGTTGAAAAATGAAGAATATTTGAGGGGACAATTGTTTTCAGTAACTTTATCAGTAGGCTCTACAGTTATAAGTCCACAATTATGTTATTTTACAAAGGCCAAAATACGGAATGTATTAATTTGATGTGTTAAAAAGTGATTGTCTTTAATGATTGGTTCTCTCATTATAACACGTTCATTTTAGTGTTCATCGGACGTGGATTTAGAATGATAGAAAACCACTGCATATGTAGTTAGGAATTTTATCAATAAAAATGACCGGAATACTTTGCCAATTTTCGAAATCCATATACGGTACATGAAATAGAATGCCCTATGACAGGAAGTACAACTCGGCAATAATTAAAAGTGCAAACACATAAGAACATGTGGATATTACACAATTATTTACGGGTCCTTAAATTTACACCAGTTTTAAGTCCACAACCACATATTATAACTACCAAGTGAGATCAAATCCGTTATATTCCTGTTGTTAATCAAACCATATACACTAATTTTTGCCCGTTAAAAGCACTCGACTGCAGAAAATACTGTGAAATCATGCAAGAAATGAACCACTTAAGCACGGTATTTAACTTATCGTACTCCTAAGGGATCCTCAGGACTTTTACTCATTTCTAGAACGCAAAACGTCTACGATTAGAAAGAGAACAATGTGGTTGAAAGACCTTGAATAGCTATGAGGTTGTCTTAAGAGAACAACTAAGTCTAATTTGTTTACTCATCAGAATACGCTAAACACTAACATTGAATCTAACAATAAAAATTGAATTCAAAGTTTAAAAAACGAAAAACATCGCAGCAAAAGTAACTTTACACCTGGGGTAAATTGAACTTCAATCACTTTAAGGTATCTAGGTAAATCTTCATAGGAAAATTCTTTCACGAAGCCCGACACGCCAGTAGAACGATCTAGTGTATCATCATGAAATATGACAACCTGATTATCTCTCGTGAGATGACAGTCAGTTTCGAACATATTTGTGCCGACAAGCAAGGAACTAGGTGTGACCAACGTAAAATTGTGACAAATGCTTATTCATACCTACTAAAAGCCTCTAAAGTATTTTCAATTTGTTCTCCTGAACCACCCCGGTGACTAATATGGGGAGCTTCGAAAAGAAGTCGTTTTTTTCTGAGAAATATGATCGGTCTTCTCAGCAGAATATATGAAGTGAAAGAGTAAACCACAAACACTGTCGCGATAAGCCCCATCATGTTTGAAAACCCCCCAACACATTTACATTTGAAGTGATCTCATTATCTGTAGGCAAAGTGAAATAGATCGTGTAAACAAAAATGGGAACTTTAATGTTTGTATATCTTAGCATCAACCCTCAACAAAGCAGGGTATTTTCGACTTGCAATTAAAAGTAATCACTTTCTAAGGATTCGTCGAGGATATGATCGGTAGATTACTAGGTTAGGGGACTAATCAAGAGGTGATAAGCTGTTCGCCGAATCCTATCAAGAGCTAAATGACTAAATCGGACTTACTATTGCACGATATGGAATTGCAGGGATCGGTTGATCAGGTTGTTCTGTGTACGCTGTGTTTGATAACACAACTGTCCGAAATATCTGACAAAGGTATGATTAAGCTAATCAAACAAGAAGTTGGGAATATACAGACAATAAGATATATTGGAATTGTATTCGATATGTTGATGTGTACGCAATCCGAGTTGTTTACTTGTTGTTAAAAAGGAATTTATGGTCTACGTCGTCGCGATGTGGTACGGATGCATGGATGAGCTCCTTCGGCCAAAAAATGCAATAAAACCAATGAAATCAGATTGTCTATAAGCATGCTTTACAAGCGGAAAGTTTAGTCCTAGCGTGATTTGCAATACTCAAACTCTCACTGTATCTTAACCCAACAAAATTACCATTTTTGAACCAATGAATCTATCTTGAGCTTCACGTTCGATAGATTACATTTCTCTTTCAGTTTTACTCAAGTTAATAGTTGGTTGTGGTTTTGCCTCGACTTACTATTGTATTTTTTAGTTTTCACATCAAGGCTTGTTTTGTTTTATCTTAATCTTTTGTACCATCCATTTTTATCCATTTAGTCCGTTTTTAGTGTACTGTTTGTTTTTTATTTACGGTTGTAGACGTTTGTTAAGATAAATTAAACAATTCACATCACCATAATCAAGAAGAATTCATGAAAGCGACCCAGATGCCGTTTTGCTGTTACCTCTGGCATGCAGTATGACAAATGCAAAGGTTGGTTCCACGATGCATGCACAGAGCTTACAGTAATGGCTCACAGAAGACTAAGAAAGTCGGATCGTAGGTGGGTATGTACCACGCATGACATGAATGCCTAAGATCTATCGAATACCATCATTCTCTTAACAGGTCTGTGGGAAAAGTTGTCGGAAAACCCATCAAAAGGTAGTCCAGAGACGGATAAACAATAAAAGACGCGCAGTGAAGAAAAAGAGAGGGACCTCGGCAGAACATGCATCGGCACTAGTGACGACATGCTGAAGCTCAGCACCATCATAACGTCAATGATAGTAGACTCCATAAGATAACTTGGGTCTTCCAGCGCAGGATTCTTGAATGCAACAGTGGTCCCTAAAATGTCTGTAGGCGATTGAACCCCTGTCAACGAAGTTGTAAAGGACTGGATGTTACCGTCTAACAAGCAGAATACCCCAGGTATTGTGGCAAAATCAACTGGTAATTTGGCCGAACAGTTTACTATTAAGACTTTCTAACCGGTCAGCGAAAACCACTGGAGTCTGAAGCTCACTTCGACTACCAAATAACAAGGTCCCCAATCTCAACGTACACGAGAAACTTGGAAAACAATAATGGTTCGCTATCACTCTCTCATAATAATGGACTTTGTCTACCACCTCGATGTGTCTAGTTTAAATCATTCTCAGGAGGCCTACTGCTGACATATATATATATATATATATATATATATAATGTGAATAAAGACAAGTTATACATAATGGGAACGTCATGTGAATGCACAAATATCCCCTCATTCACCATTGTTGGTCTTTCGTCCGCATTAAATATTAAATATCTATTTTCCTAGTTATCGCGTGTTCAGCTTTGAAGATTGTGTGACTAGGACCAATACCGCTACTTATGCTCATTAGGAATTCTCGCTGCACACGATATTGTGTGCTACAAAGCCGTCTGTTCAGCTAATGTTCTTCAAAATCTACACGTAACCTACAGTCATCAAGAGCTTCACTCTTTGTTCGCTCAGCTCCAAAAGGCACTGCTGGGCGGAATACAAACAAACTTCTAACGACAGTGCATTAGAGCAATGCAAACAAACAAGGAACATATGCACACAGACTATAAGAAAAGGCAGGCTTCAGTACCAGATAAAGCTTATTGATAAATTATGGAAAAATCCGAAAAGCCTACTACGTCACGCGGCCTCTCTTCGACAAGCCCATAACAGTGTTACCCAACTGCTAGGTCCTAATGGCCAGACAAACAACGACGGTGACGTTGCTGACCTTCTGATGGTACAGTACTCTCGGACATTTCAACTGACCTACACTAACTGTATTGATGGAAGCCTCATCTGTAACTCCGCCAAACTTTCAGGAGAGAACCTGAGCTCTCACTTGGTGTAACGGAAACTGTAGCGCACGCAATAGAACACGTCTGGTCCAGATATGGTTTATTCTGGTATATTGAGGGAAACGGCTTCAGTTTTAGTAACATCGCTTAGCATGATGTTCTCACATTCACATGTTCTCACATCAGATGATTAGAAGCTAGCTCACATCACACCGATTTTCAAAGGAGGTCAACGCAGCGAACCCACAAGCTACCGACCGGTATTAATTCTCTCTTTACGTTCAAAAATTATGGAGTCCCTGATATGCAAGGGTATACACGACTACTTATTACCTATAAACTTTTTTTTACTCCAACAGCATGGCTTCAGAAAGGGTAACTCTTGTATAACCAACCTCGTTGGACAGATGGGAAACCACCCTTGATAGCAAGAGGAAGGCTGACATCATATACCTTGATTTCTCTAAAGCGTTTGACAGAATCAACCATACATATCTTATTACAAAGGTCGAACTATAGAGTAACAAGCCACCTTTAATTGATTGGCTCACCTGATATCCAAAAAAATCTACTTTTGAAGTTCAGGGTTAACTGCACATTTTCTCGGGTTATGGAATACCCTAATGCGGTCTTCCAATGTCCAATCATATGGCCTCTTCTTTTCTTGGTTTATAATAATTTCCACTGACAATGTGAAACTCCAGAGAGAAGTATGTAATCAAGAGGATAAACTGGCACTTCAGGAAGACCTAACACGACTTCATAGTTGGGCAGACGACAACGGACTTACCTTCAACACTTCAAAGTGCAAAGTAGTCCTTCTGCGACATGTTGCAGACTATAGTCACAACTTGGGAAACTCCTCTAGAAGTTTTCCAAGTCGAAAAAGATTTAGGAGTGTTGGCATCCTACGACTTGAAGCCGTAAGCTAACTGTGACAAAAACACAATTAAAGCAAACCTCGCACTGGTAACATTGAAGCGCGTTTTCGGCCAGTTTGACAGCAGAACTTTCCACATAATCTTCAACAGTTTTATTCATCCCCATTTAGAGTACGGAAACATAGTATTTCCTCCCTCACTCCAAAAGGATAAAGACACTCTGAGGCGTATCCAATGTCGAGCCACGAAATCAGTTCGGAGACTAAAATTCAAACCTTATGAATAGCGCCTTCAATCACTTAACCTTTGCTCGTTAGAGTACAGGCGTCTAAGAGGTGGCTTATATGGTGACTCACAATATCCTAAACACTTCTGTTCATCCCCTTAAACATCTAATAAGCTTAGTCACAACACTGAAGATACGATCAGTATTCTAGTTTGGCAACTAGCAACCAGTAACACCTTCTTTATTCGAAGCGTTCCCCAAACAGTTAAAAATCAGAAGTTAGATGCGAAGAGATCAAAAAGATATATTTGATACATTATCAATATATTGAGAAGCGTTTACTCTAATCTGGCTAGTGAACGTAGGAGCTGTATCCCACGCTAGGTCGTAACGTGATCTGGTGCGGTTGCATGTCCGAAAGCCTTCAGTTAAACAAGTCCACTTAAAACAATGTGGTCAGCATCCAATGTCGAACACTTAAAGAGCTGTTGATTTTGGGGAATTATTTCCAGCTACAGATCACTCCCCCCATAATGAGGTAGTGAGGACCCTAAGACGTGACGAGCGAGAAAAATAAAACCCAAGGAGTTTGTCGTTGGTAAACACTCTTCTGATAGCTTGCTATATGTAGCAGCGTCTGGTCGTCTTTCCTTACATTAAGGGACCATGGAGTACAACATAGTAAAAAGGAAACAAAGTACAATGAAAATTTCAGTTCCTTGTGAAACTTCGTTCTTTTCCAGCCGTCGTGGAAAAGAAAATAAATAGAACGTGTGAGTGCATGTCGAAAATACACGTGCTTGCGTAAGGACACAAGGTGAGCGGAAAAAAATATATATATAAACTAATACGCTTGCGGCAGCGTAAAAGCGATTGTAAACAAACTGGATTTTTTAAAATAAATATGCCAAAATGAGCAATATTAATGAAAAATTTTTTTTTTAATAATGCAAAGGGAATTTGAGATAAAGCTTGTGTCCTACGCGCAATAGTCGTTTAAATGTTCTGGAAATCTTACCCTTCTTCCAGAACGCGTTGTTTCAGGTTTATCTATCGACGTTGACGAAGTATCAAGTTGTGTATCGGCTGCCGTGTGGAGTACTACGAGTGTGGGAGCCATGTCGTACGATTGTATCGAAGGAAATTCGACGTAGCTAGAGTTTCCTTCTAAGTACGCTGCTTTTAGGCGATCAATAGTGATGCTATCGTTCGTGCAGTTCTTATCGACTACATAGTACTTAGGTTCACGTTGAAGAAACTTGAAGGGTCCTTCGTATGTTGATTTGAGAGGTTGTCGATATGAGTCTCGACGAACGAAGACGTGTGTACTATGTCGTAAGTCAGGTTGAACGAAAACATCAGTTGGTTGAGGTCGAGTGTGAGCAGGTTTAACTGAACGCATTGCGTTTGTAAGCCTGTTCGTGTAAGAGTTTAGATCCATGTTCAATGAAGAAGCTGAAGGATCCACGAATTCTCCTGGAAGTCGGTGTGTCGTTCCATAAACGGGTTGAGGTGCAGTTTATCCAATGTCAGCCTTCACTGCA